TCAGAGATCCAACCAAGACCTCACCTGCCAGACAAAGCCATCTGCCTCCTGGAGATGCAGCGGTTCAGCACAGGCACAGACCTCTCCTGCTAGCAACAAATATCTTGGCTGCCTGATATCCAGAAGTGGCAGCAAGTTCAGTGCCTTCAAGTCAGGCACTAACTAGAACATGGGCCTTAGGAAGACAGAACTTTAGAAGGCCCTGCCAGATCAGCAGCAATTACAACTACCTCCTTTACAGAAGCACTGGAAAATCCCAACCCAAACAAGCAACAGGGACTAGAAGTCCAGGACCAAGGAATGTGCCTCTAGAGAAAGAAGAAGGGACAGGGGAAGGAATGTGCCAAAGGCCACAAAGCAAGTCAGTGGCAGAGCAGGGAGCACAACCCAGTGCCTCAATTTTGCCACATTCCTGTACTGCTCCAGGTGAAAGGTGCTGATCCCAGCAAGCTGCTGGGCAGTTTGACCATTAAATCAGGCACAGCCAGGTCAGAAATGCATGCAGCACAGGGGAGGGGGCCTTCACCACATCAAGCAGGTAGGGGCACCACTACTTCCATCAGTTGATGGGAGAAGGGAAGTCAATCACCACCAGCCCGACCTTAACCCCTGCACACAGCTAATCTATGCCTGGGGCCTCCAGCAGGGACAACACAGCCTGAGGAAGGCATCTCAAGCCTGCATTTTGCCTGACAGGTTAGTTTTAGATTTCTCTGGATCAAACAGGAGGGCAGGTGAAGTGGCCAGCACTACAAGCAGGGGACTGGTATGTTGTGACAGGTGCTGGCCAGCCTTACCTTGGCGTGCAACCCAGCTCTAGCTAAGTATGTGGCTCAGGTGGCTGGCCTCACCCACAAGCAAGGTACCAGAAAACAGATCACAGGTGTTGGGAGGGAAGACGTACACCCACGCAGCCAAGGAAGAGAACCAGGGCCACAGGAAACAGCGATGCCTTGGGCACAGAAAACAGCTGGGCGTCACCACATACATGGCGGTAGTGGAAGGTGAACATGTGACTGGTATCCACCCAAGGCAAGACATGGGGGGCAGGAGAGGCTCTCATGGGACAGTGTGCAGAGGAACATCCTTATAGGCCACCACTGCACAGGCTGCAGCTACACAGATCAATGGGCATCAACACATGTTCTTGACATGTGCTGTGGATCACATGGCCACTCCTTTTAGGTTCCCCGTACATACTTTCTTCTGCTGGTCAGGGGAGGTGCCACCTCTGCCAGCCTTTTTCATGCTAAATTAACACCCCACTGGAGAAGGGACTTCAACAATCAGAAGAGAGTTCTGCCCGGCCGAAGGCACATCCAGCCAGGTCTGTATGCTGCAGCGCCACAAAGGGCTCGAGTACCTGGATCCACCCCACGCCCCATTTCAATGAGCAGACAGACTCAGGAATGTGCTGGAAGCAAGACACCCCTCCATAAAGCCTCTTGCTGTCCCAGCCTGAAGGAAAACTGAACCCACAGGTAAGAGGGAATCTCAGACAGGTCAGGTATGCCAAGTGCCAATCTGGACTGGAAGCAGAATACCCCATGCAGTGAACAAGACCTGAAACAGCCAGCCTGGCTGGGGCATTTACTAGCTCTATGCCATGTCCTCCAACAGTCCCAGTGCAAGGTTCACACACTCCTTCCCTAGGGGTGGGAATCCACAACATGAGGACTCAAAGGTCCAGCTCTGCTTAATAACGAAAGAGGATGACTCAGCCAGCAGATATGATAATTTACTAACTCAAGCAAGGGGTCTCTGATGCACTGCTTAGGCCAGTTGATAAAGCAGCAGCTTGAGTTTAAAGGAACCCTGTCCAGCTCTGCCTGATCTTTCCTCTTACAAGGGAGTCCCTGCTGGACAATCGGAGACACAGATGCTCCACGAGCTATGGGGATCTTAGGCCAAATGGTACCAAGCGCTCACTCACAAGAGTGCCCTTATTCATAAGGACACCAGACTGGAAGGGGCACCCTAAGCCACGCAGGCCAGGCCCTGCATTCACTTGCAACCATTAACCAAAGGAATCCCCAAGAGTCATCCATCCATAACAAGAAGCAACAGTGTCACCCAGAAACACCCAGAACACCCTGTAACAAGTTACAGTTAAAAGCAGAGATGAGGGCACTGCTGATGCACTGACAGAGGAGTGAGTTGATCGCGCGCGCACCCCCCCCCCCCACAACATCCTCTGCCCTGGTACTGAATGGACTATCAACACGGCTGCCCACCGACCCAGGGAAAAGCTTCCCTGGCCCAAAAACCCCCAACCGCAACTCTGCACGGCTCCTTCATGGGGACACAGAATTCTCCAAATCAAGGCCCCGTTTCCACCCACTTGGTGCAAAGAGCCTCTTTGGTACCGTGTGACATGTGCTAGTCAGCCCAGGGATTTCTTCACTGCCTAAAATCAGGCAGAAGGGAGGGGATTAACAAAATTTTTGGCTCCAGGAAACATGCACCTCTGCAGGACCCCAGGAAGAGGAGCAACCTACCAGGCTTTCAGGAAGCTAAAGAGGTCCACATCCCTGTCCCTCAACAGGGTCTGTGAGATGGCAGAGCTGCCACCCCAGTGGCCAGGAGCAGGAGAGGGGCAGCTCCCCGCAGCTTCGCAAGGGCGGGGGGAAGGAGGCAGCTCTGACCCACATATAATTCAGGAGCCTATTTATAGCTCCGCATATGCAGGCGGCTCGTGCCAGCGCTGCCAGAACAGAACCGCCAGGCCGGGGCCGCAGGGGCTTGTTCCCAGGGCTGAGGGGATCTGTTTCGTCCCCCTTCCTTCCACCCGCTTTATGAGGGGAGACGGGGCCAGGGCACAAGGCTGCGGGGAGCCCAGAACCAGTGCCCATGTCTCCAGTACCAGAGGCTGGAGAGGAAAGGGACCAGTGCTGGGCGTGCAACGCACGCGCGTGCCCCCACACGCACAATTGTTGCTGGGCGTGCAACGCGCGCACGCGCCCCCACACGCACAATTGTTGCTGGGCGTGCAACGCGCGCCCCCACACGCACAATTGTTGCTGGGCGTGCAACACACACGCACGGGCCGGGCTCCGTGCCTCTGCAGGGTTATAAGCAGCCCCTGCCCGCACCGCGCCGCCCCGCCGCGCCCGCACCCAGGCCCGGGACGGGGACGGGGACGGGGACGGGACCAGCCCCGGCCGCGCTCACCGGGCTCCGGCGTTTGAGGGTCACGTTCTTCCAGAGCAGGAG